AACAAGGAGAGAATATACATTTCATCATAATATGGCCAAGTCATTGAGCTGAGGGTAAGGGCCATTCATGCCAGGACTATGCTCAGCTCAAGGCCATGGAGACAGTCCATTTGCAGTTTCTCTGGATCGCGGATTGACATCCCCAAAGTACACCGGTTTGTACTGCCTTTGGTGCTACACTCTCTGCCCTGCTGCTCAAAATGTTACTCACACTCCAAGATCACATTTATATCACTCTTTTGCCTTGAAGGGTTTTTTTTTTTTAAATTTTTTATTTCCAGAAACCATCTACAGAGTCAGTTTGTCTTTTGCCTCTGTCTTCCCATCATGTTTGGTTTGTAGCCAGCTACTACAGAGTACTTAGCAAAGGCTCTCCCACTTTAAGCTACTTGTCTCCTGGTGGAGGCCCTGCAGGAGAGTTCTTAGCTTCCTGCATATTGTTGGTGATTAACATGAATTTTAGAGGTGGTATGTACAGGACTTAGGCACTTTGGCTCTGGAGATAGAAGTCTTGAGTTCTAATTCCAGCTCTGCCATTAATCAGCTGTTTATTATAAGGAACTGTTACTCAGTCGTGTCCGACTCTTTGTAACCCTATGAACTGTAGCCTGCCAGGTTCCTCTGTCCATGGGATTCTCTGTGTAAGAATACCGGAGTGGGTAGCCATTCCCTTCGCCAGGGAATCTTCCCTACGCATGGATCGAACCCTGGTCTCCTGCTTTGCAGGCAAATTCTTTACCATCTGAGCCACCAGGGAAGCTCACTTAAATTTAATAGCAATTTTCTTTTTTCTGGAAAACAGGTATGATGATAGTACCTATCTAACTGGGCTACTGTGAAGATTAAGTAATATAATAGATAAAGTCATTGAGCCAGTGTTTGAACCATAGTCTGACTCTTGCAGGGCTTCCCTGGTGGCTCAAAGGGTAAGCGTCTGCCTGCAATGCTAGAGAACGGCGTTTGATCCCTGGGTCGGGAAGATCCGCTGCAGAAGGAAATGGCAACCCACTCCGGTATTGCCTGAAGAATCCCATGGACAGAGGAGCCTGGTAGTACAGTCCAGTGGGTCACAAAGAGTCAGATACGACTGAGGGACTTCACTTTCTGAATCATAGTAAGTGTTGAATAAAGATTCAAGATACAGCAAGATCCAATTCATTGAACTGAATTAAAAAAATTTTTTTTTGGCTGTGCTGCACTGCATGTGGGATCTTAGTTCCCTGAACAGGGGTTGTACCTACACTCCCTGCATTGACAGGATGGAGTCTTAACCACTGTAGCACCAAGGAAGTCCCAGAACTGAATTTTAAAAGGAATTTTCTTTCTCTTTTAGGAGTTTCTTCATATAGTCAATAAGAAATGGTGTTTGATAAGCAATGGTAAATAGCCAAATGTAAAAGCCATCATATTTTTTTGGACAAAATTAAGATCTCATATTATTCTCAGGTCCTCTTAATAACTTTTACTTTTAATATGTAAAGTCCCAATTTGGCTGGTAAAAGTTTTATACTTTTATACTAGACAGCTCTAGGATATTAGAAGTATCTTTATGACATTAAGTGATACTGTTTTGTTTTCAACACTGTTCCTAAATTAAAGACATGGATCTCTGGCCTTCAAGAGAGTCCAAGACTGTTTGAGCAGGGGGACTGATGAAGTTAATATCTTGAATGTGGTTTTTAGTCTTCTATGCCAATTTCTATCTAGTCATTAGCCCAAAGATGCTTCTCTTTCCTATTGAGGATCAGGCCAGACAGTTGAGATGCATAAATTCACTGCTAGAAAAAAAAAAAGCTCTTTTTATTGTTGGAACATTTTTGTATACAAAGAACAGCATGGGTGTTTATTCTTCAGAGGCTTTAAAGAAAGTTGTTTCTATGTAAGTATACAGAGGTATATATGTATATCTTTGGCTAACTCTTCTAATGTTTTTCAAACTGGGATTAAGTTTTCTTGGACGTTGCACATTTTGAGCATCTGAGTTTGCACCAATGTCCAAGGTCAGGGATTATATTTTATTTATTTTTGTACTCCTAGATACTAATATATCATCTGATGCATGTAATAAATAGTTGCTAGCTCAAAATATACATGTATGCTCTGCTGAAAGGCTGCAGAATTTGGTTATATTGGAATGCTTATATTTAACAAAGAGATGAAATATTATTAAAAATTACACTTTAAAAGTTTGAGTAAGGAATCCATTTTTTGAGACCATTTTTAGTATCTGAATAAGATAGATTGCAATATCTTTCTTTTGAGAATCGATTTTTGTTCATTAGCAGTGAGTAGTTAATTGATGAAATTCTACTTTTACTTCCCTGTTTTTTTGCATGTTTAACATCTGGCATATTTCTTTCTGACTTTCTGTCTAAACATTCATTCACTACATGTTTTATATATACTATTATACATGTCAAAGCACGGTTTTATGACCCTCCTTTTTATGTACTCATCAGGCAGTAGAGTAGATACTTTCTTAACGCCATTGATGTGATTTATTTGACGTTGAGAAATTAAAATTAGGGAGGCATTTACATTATATGGAATCTGCCTGCAATGCAGAAGACCTGGGTTTGATCCCTGGGCTGGGAAGATCCCATGGAGAAGGGACGGGCTACCCATTCCAGTATTCTGGCCTGGAGAATTCCATGGACTACAGTCCATGGGGTTGCAAAGAGTTGGACATGACTGAGCGACTTTCACTTTACATTATATGGAAGTAGTTCAAGCAGTCAGTTCTGTTACTTTATATTCTTTAAAGACATTTGAAAAATCAGATTTAACACATGACAAGAAGAGAAAATCTATTTGGGAGCTTTCATTTCAGTCATTCATTTTTTCCCCTCATCATATTTTTATGCTTTTCCCAAGCAATAGATGTGGCCTCTGAGATAGTTTAGTGAGTTTAGTTCTAATTTTTATTTTCTTTGTTTAGTTTTTAGAACCGGACATGGAACAACAGACTGGTTTCAAATAGGAAAAGGAGTACATCAAGGCTGTATATTGTCACCCTGCTTATTTAAGTTATGTGCAGAGTACATCATGAGAAACGTTGGGCTGGAGGAAGCACAAGCTGGAATCAAGATTGCCGGGAGAAATATCAATAACCTCAGATATGCAGATGACACCACCCTTATGGCAGAAAGTGAAGAAGAACTAAAGAGCCTCTTGATGAAAGTGAAAGAGGAGAGTGAAAAAGTTGGCTTCAAGCTCAACATTCCGAAAACTAAGATCATGGCATCCAGTCCCATCACTTCATGGCAAATAGATGGGGAAACAGTGGAAACAGTGGCTGACTTTATTTTTGGGGGCTCCAAAATCACTGCTGATGGTGATTGCAGCCATGAAATTAAAAGACACTCCTGGGAAGGAAAGTTATGACCAACCTAGATAGCATATTAAAAAGCAGAGACATTACTTTGCCAACAAAGGTCCGTCTAGTCAAGGCTATGGTTTTTCCAGTGGTCATGTATGGATGTGAGAGTTGGACTATAAAGAAAGCTGAGCGCCAAAGAACTGATGCTTTTGAACTATGATGTTGGAGAAGACTCTTGAGAGTGCCTTGGATTGCAAGGAGATCCAACTAGTCCATCCTAAAGAAAATCAGTCCTGAATATTCATTGAAAGACTGATGATGAAGCTGAAACTCCAATACTTTGGCCACCTGATGTGAAGAACTGACTCATTGGAAAAGACCCTGAGGCTGGGAAAGATTGAGGGCAGGGGGAGAAGGGGACGACAGAAGATGAGATGGTTGGATGGCATCACCGACTCAATCGACATGGGTTTGGATAGACTCTGGCAGTTGTTGATGGACAGGGAGGCCTGGTGTGCTGTGGTTCATGGAGACACAAAGAGTCGGACACGACTGAGCAACTGAACTGAACATCATGAAAAGTTTTTCTAAATTCTGTCATCCTGTCCTCTCTTTATGGTCATTATTACCCTAGCTTCAGGTACTGGCTGACAGCCCAAGAGAGCCCAGTGCTGAAGTATGTACCAGGGGGATTATAAACCTTGGTATGCCACTTCCTATATGGACCAAAAGCTAATCAGATGAATGGGAAAAGGCTTTGTTTCATGTTCCAGCTGTGCTTTATTGGAAATTAATGCATCCTCAATCTCTACCATCTTATATAACGCATCTGTGTTCTGGGAATCCTTCAGAAGTTCTTCCTCTGCTGATTTTTTTTTTTTTCCCAAAAGATCTACTACATTTGAGATCAATGACTCCCTTGTAGGCAATGATTTTGTTAATGACAACCAAAGGTCTTCCAAAAACTGTGTTGAAAATTCTGGGAATGATTCATTTATGATATAGGGTTATAATGTCTGAAGGAATATCAGAGATAAGAGTTCTTCAGGCCAAACTACAAGCATTGCTGAAATATTTTATAACAACAAAGTATGCCTATTGTCTTTGATAGTATACCTTTGTCTCAGAAGTGAAAAAAGTTCAGAATATAGTTAATATTTTATAATAACTATAAATGAAGCATAGCCTATAAAATTTTTGAATCACTATATTGTATACCTAAAACTAATATAATATTGTAAGTCAACCATACTCCAACAAAAAAAATTAAAATGTGATTAACAAATGGTCCTAGAGATGTAACATAAATCTGAATAAGAATTGCACCTGGGAAGTATAATTTATAGAAGTTCTACAAGGACTGGCTTCAACTGGCCATTATATACTAGATGATTCCCATGGAGACAGATAGTCTCAGACCATGAGAAGGTAGACTCAGGAATCCTGTTTGACCTAGGACAATTTCAAACCTGCTTTGGAGCAAACTGAATTCTTTGAATATCCTTGCAAACTAATTTTATCTTCCCTGGGGGATATGCTGAACCGATTTCAAATCCATGCTGTTTGGCTGTGGTCATCACTAAGGCTGACCTTGAATGAAGGCTATTTCCAAGGGTGAGATTCAGGCTCCAGTACTGGGCCTAAACCAGTTCACCATACTGTATCTTGTTACCTTTCTTACCTGATACAGGTTGGCGAGGTGGTGGTTTGTTTTGATCAGAAACGGCTGGTTCACCCCTGGGTGGTCAACATCGTGGGCTGCTGCAGCCAGCAGTCCAAGCATGATATCCAGAGGCGTGAGGAAGCTGGCGAGCTGTTAAAAAATGGAGTTGGGAGATTGATTGGTGTGTTTCCCAAAATAGGCTAGCCTTTGTTTTGGCTAAATCACATGGAATGAATCATCATATTAGTATCATTTGGGCCTGTCATTCAGACCTTAACCTTCTGAAGCTGTCAGTAAGGTAACAGCGCCATGAAATTTCAGGAAAGAAGAAAGAACTGGGAGGAAAATGACTCAGCAACTCAAATTGTGTAGCTCTTCCAGGTGGCCTCCTCTTCCTGCTGCTGCTCTTGTCATGTTTTGCTGTTGTAATAGCTCTGCCTGTTGGCAACACTGCTCTCTATGGTGGGTGGGGACAGGCAGAGCCTAAAGTCAGCCTTGCTCCCAGGAAAGCTGTAAGTGAAGGAGAAAGCTGAAGCCAAAGTGATGGGCAAGTTAAAGAAATCGCTTTTGTATTTCATCCCACATATCATTGCCACTTCGTTGAATATGAAATGGACTGAATTGCAAAATTTGCATATTTCTCCAGTGTGTAATAGAGTGCGGCAATGTGTGAGAATCTGTCGTTTTTTTCTTTTTCTTTTTTTGGTTAGCTAAGGAAACAAGCAGGAAAATGGGAATCTAGTGCTAACTTTAAATACACAACTGTGATATATTACAATTTTCAAATTACTTAAGGATTAAATAAAAAAACCTTTAAGGTCTTTGGGATATTTTATAAGGATGAGGCATATCCAGTTTTGTCTTGGGAATGTCTGTATATTTAGTGGTTGATGTTAGAACTGATTGAACCAAACAGAGTCTTGGACTGAGGTATCATTTTCCAAAAACCCTAACAAAACTCATCCTATATGTTATACAGCTAGGTTTTATATGGCTAAGAAATGTTTAGGTTTTGAGTAACAAGCATTATCATCATGTTTAAAATTTTTGATTAATATATTGCATCTGGGTTTACTTTAAAGATGTCTTTGATCGACACAAGTTCTCTTGGGCTGGAATTGGGATGTCTAGTTGCCTCAGTAGGAAGTGGAACTTGGGTTTTGAGGAGTTTTAATTCTACTTGCTGATCAAAAAACATGACCTGGGAGACTTTTCCTAGAAAAATTCAGTGCTGGTACTATGTGTGGCATAGTATCAAGGCAAAAGCAGCTAACTTTTGTGATTGTTGAAGATATCTAAGATGCAGATTGTCATAAAGAGGGTTGTTTTTGTCCTAATGCAGCCTTGAAAATATATAAATTATAGAAGGGAACCTCTGAAAATTTACTTTCTTTCATGACTATTATACTTTCTTTCTTACTTTCTTTCATGATTTCAGAGATGATACTGAAACCTTTTTAAAATTTTTCTTTTAATTTTTTCAATGTCAACCATTTTTTTAAAGTCTTTACTGAATTTATTACAATATTGCTTCTGTTTTATGTTTTGATTTTTTTTTTGGCCTTGAGGCATGTTGAATCTTACTTCCCCGATCGGGGATCAAACCTAAACTCTCTGCTTTGGAAGGCAAAATCCTAACCACTGGATTGCCAGAGAAGTCCATGAACCCTTCATATAAGCAATTTGTATTCATGCTATAAATGACTCATAACCCAGTTGCTCTGTTCCATCGGGCGATCTGGGGCCCTGCAGGCAGTTTACATGGCGTTTCCAGAAGGCCGGGGGGACAGCGGACTTGCCTTACCCTTGGCTCCTTTAGGTAGCAGTGCATGGCCTGGGTGACGTCAGCCGCATGAACAGCATTGTGATACGGGTTTTGGCTGTGGTAATCTTCTTGAACCATGACTAGGAGGTAAACAGATAACTCAATCAGCTAAAAACAAAACAGGACACATGAGCTCAGACTTATTGAAGGTCTCTTTTGCTTAAAAATAGCAGCGACTCCCAAATGCGCAGCACAGGGATGCCTTAGAAATGAACGTGGTGTGCCGGCTTGGCAGTTCTACTGGGCTGTTAGCGGAGAAGAGGGAGAGGGAGGAGGGGAGAAAGGCTAGAACGATTTGTGAGGCCCTTGGGATTCCTCACCACCTTCATAAATCACCTCCTTTTGGCATTCATGAAGGCTCTCATTCATAGGAAAAATAAATATGCAGGAAAAGGACAACTTTATTTCACATTATAGTTTAATTAAGTTTGCTGCCATTTATGAATAATAGGCCATAAAAGAGGCTTCCTTTTAAAAAGCCCTGCTGTCATCCAAAGATGGCTTTATCACTTAAATAACAAATACAGACCAGAGCAAACCTTGGGATTCTTCAGGTGGAAATTCATTGATCCAACTGAGGAATCCTTAGATTTATTTCTGTCTTATTCAGATCAAATGATTATCTTTCATGCCCTTCCAATCTAAGGACCAGAGTGCTCTTGATACCAGAGACATAATGCAATTTTGTTTGCAATTTACAGAAAACACTTGCCTGCTTCAGCTAATAACCAAGGCAATGCCTAAGATGAAATATATTCTGTGTGTATAGAATGTCCCGATTTCCTAGTGTGGCCATATTCTCTCAGCCCAGCCTATGACTATGGCTCTAGATTCTGGTGTTATTTCTGTCACTGACTCTGGCTCTTTCACAGATACTCTAGTGTGCACACATGCTCACAGTATCTGCCTTCTCCCTCTTTAAACAAATTGAAATTATTTGGTTCCATTCATGGGGATTACTTCACTCAATCTCTCTGAACACAATTAGCTTGAGGTTATTTGTGTTTCTGGAATGAGTCTTGCTCTGGCTGCTTTCCAATATTTCTGTTGTGCCACATGTACATTTTACTCAGCAGGTTTATCTTACTATTATATGTAAATCCTGGCTCTGTTACTTATGTATATTGGGAAAGTTACTTAACCAAAAGTTTCCTTCATTTCTTCCTCTATAAAGTGGGGATAATAATAGCCTTGATCTCAAAGGCATACTGTAAGGATGAAACGGGTTAATATATGCAAGTTCTTAGAAGAGTTCCCAGCATGTGTAAACACCATATAAGCCTGGTGGCTGCTGCTGCTGTTATCACCATCACCATTATTTTATTCTTGATGTATCAAGTATCAAGTCAGCTTTCAAATTCAAAGCACTGCCACGTGGCAAGTCAAAGAAGTCAGGAACATGCTAAGAGGCAGAGGACAGTTATTTGGTGATTAAACCTTTGCCAAGGATGGGGCTTCCTTGGGAGCTCAGTGGTAAAGAGTCAGCTGTCCGTGCAGGAGATGTGGGTCCGCCCTCTGGTCCGCGTAGATCCCACATGCAGCAGAGGAGCGAGGCTGGTGAGCCACTGAGCCGGTGCCCCGGAGCCCGCGGGCCACAACTTCTGAGCCCATGTGCAGCAACTACTGAAGCCTATGGGCCCTGGAGCCCATGGTCTGCAACAAAAGGCCTTGCACTGTAACTGGAGCAAAGCCTGAGCAGCATCAAAGACCCAGCACAGCCAAAATAAATAATAAATAAAAACATAAAAAATCTGCCCTGGGTCATTCACTGGAAGATAAGTAAGCATATACATAGTCAAATGAGAGCTGGGACTGCTTTTTGATGAAGAGTGATGGTGCAGTTGGGTGGAAAGATGGTGGGCTTTCAAATCCAACAGACCTGGGCTTGGATGGAGGCTCTGCCAATTACAATTTGTTGACCTTGAGCAAGTTACAAAACTTCTTTGTACTTCTTATCTGTGGGCCAAATATTGATAACACCCAACTTGCAGAGTTACTGAAACTGTTAGAAATAACACTCAAAACACTCTACCTACAGTGTGTGCTAGATACACAGTAGTTCTTCTCATTAAAAATAAAGCCTATTGAATATTTTAACAACTCATGTCCAGAGTGGCATTATTTGAGGAGTACTTTGCTTGGGTTTTGTTAACATGTGAACAGATCAGTAACTTCTCTGACAGTTATCTGCTTTTGATGTTGTCTTTACATTGAGGTTGTTTAGTTGCTAGGACATGTCCGACTCTTTTGCGACCCCTTGGACTGTAAGCCCACCAGGCTCCTCTGTTCATGGGATTTCCCAGGCAAGAATACTGGAGTGGATTGCCATCTCCTCCTCCAGGGGATCTTCCTGATACAGGGATTGAATCAGTGTCTCTGGCATTGCAGGCAGATTCTTTACTGTTGAACCACTAGCAAAGTCCCTGTCTTCACATAGCCTTTATATTTTAAGCCTAAGCATAACTAATATTTTTTCAATAATTTAAATAGATAAACTATATTTTAAAATTAAGATGGATAATTTAAGACTAATATGAGGTCTTCATCTACCATGCTATGGTTCTTGCCACTTTATATTAAACAGTGTTGTAGACTGCCATTATTCATGAGAAATGGAGTAGAAACGTGGAAAAAAAGGACTTACCTAAAAACCTGTGTAAGGTCACCATGTCTAACTTGAAGTGGTGGATGAGTCCATGGGTGTTGAAGAGGTGGCAGAGCAGTGTCACCAGGCTGTTTCCTATAGGAAAATAGTCAGTTGCTTTAATTCATTTTTATTACTATTAAAAAAATCAAGACAGACAATAGGACCCAAAATTTCTGTAATCAAAATTCTCTGATAGGATCATTTCTTTTCCTCTTTAGATCTGAAATTATCCAAGTACAAAGGATATTATTATTATGATCTGGTCCCAGGTTTTATCTTATTGCACAAGAAAAATTAACTTAGACATTTCCCCAATGCCACAGGCAATGAAAACATTAAGCATTAAAAGGAGTCTGCCTATGGCAGTAGCAGGGATACACACGCACGTGTGTGTCTCTCTCTGTGTGTGTGTATGTGTCTGTATGGGTATTTAAAAAAATGCACAGTTTAATGGTCACTGAAAATGTGTCTTGTTTCCAAATGATTCTTATATTTATAGGGGTATCTAAGCCACCATATTTCTTTGAGCCCCTTTTTTGGGAGAGGGGCAAGAATACTTGAGTGGGTTGCCATTCCCTTCTCCAGGATATCTTCCAACCCAGGGATTGAACCCGGGTCTCCCGCATTGTAGGCAGACGCTTTACCATCTGAGCCACCAGGGAAGTCTAACTTTATTTTTTTGGGCTCCCAAATCACTGCAGATGGTGACTGCAGCCATGAAATTAAAAGACACTTACTCCTTGGAAGGAAAGTTATGACCAACCTGGATAGCATATTAAAAAGCAGAGACTCTTGAGAGTCCCTTGGACTGCAAGGAGATCCAACCTGTCCATCCTAAAGGAAATCAGTCCTGGGTGTTCATTGGAAGGACTGATGCTGAAGCTGAAACTCCAATACTCTGGCCACCTCAGGCGAAGGTTGACTCATTGGAAAAGACCCCAATGCTGGGAGGGATTGGTGGCAGGAGGAGAAGGGGACGACAGAGGATGAGATGGCTGGATGGCATCATCGACTCGATGGACATGAGTTTGAGTAAACTCTGGGAGTTGGTGATGGACAGGGAGGCCTGGCGTGCTGTGATTCAGGGGGTTGCAAAGAGTCGGACACGACTGAGCGACTGAACTGAACTGAACTGAAGCCACCACATTGCCTACTCTTCCTTTGGAAAATCACTCAAGATGAGATTTGACCATGAGATACTTTGTAACTCAAGACAGCAGAAGTGCAAAACTGAAGCTATAATAACTTGTTAAGCATTCAAGAAATATTGTTCACTAGAGAATAAGGACTTTGAATTTTAAAAGCATTATAAGAGTTTATGAAAGACCGAAATGGACTAAGAAACGGACTGGTATCTCAGATGTAAAACTATGCATTGCTTAAGCACACTCGTCCAGGGTATCTGATTCTATGTGTTTTTACAGCTTTCATTATCTTCAAGCTATTTCACAAGAATCAAAATTTTAGATAACCAATATCATTGCAGACGATTCTTGTCTGTATACATGAAAATGAAATTAGAGGGAAATAAAATTGATTTTCCCCTCCCAGTTTCCCAGCTATTGACAAATTCATTTCAGCATTTCTTACTGCTTATATATGTATGACTCTGAATTTTCCTTTGAACTAGCTGTAGCATTTTACTGAATCTGTAATTAATTTAATTAAATAAAGTCATTGGCATAGTCATTTCATATATTTGTGAGTTGTGATTATACTCTCTTTTTAATAAAGCCCGTTGAACTAATTCTTTTGTTCATGGTTAATTTCATGTACTGGTCCCCATCTCTCAATTGACTTGAGCAAAGAGAGACACAAGATTATGAGATACATCCCTATATGGTCTAGCTTTCACAGTGTAAAGCTCATTTTCAGGCTCTCCACGTGGCGCTAGTGGTAAATAATCCGCCTGCTAATGCAGGAGACAAAAGAGACATGGGTTCCATCCCTGGGTGGGGAAGATCCCCTGGAGGAGGAAATGGCAACCCACTCCAGGATTCTTGCCTGGAGAATCTCATGGACAGAGGAGCCTGGTGGGTTACAGTCCATAGGGTCACAAAGAGTCAGACACGACTGAAGAGACTTAGCATGCATGCACACAAAGTTCAGTTTCAGGGTCTGAGGCTTTATCTCTCTCCACTATGTGTTGTTTGTCAGGAATAGAATGGTGAGAAAATCTTCTGTGATGACTTAAAACACAAGCCTGGTATATGATGAGTGGGTGCGTGCTGTCACTTCAGTCGTGTCCGACTCTGTGCAACCCTGTGGACTGTAACACACCAGGCTCCTCTGACAATGGGATTAAAACCGTTGTCTCTTATGTCTCCTGCATTGGCAGGTGGGTTCTTTACCACTGGTACCACCTGGGAAGGCCATGGTAGATGATGGTCAGCATTAAATGTGATGTCTTTTACTAATTCCCTATTAGATTTGTTTAATGGGCAGTTAAAAATACAATAGGATCTTATTATTTTCTTAAGAGAAACCTCTGTAGGCACAAGAATTTTAAAAGTGGAGCTAATAAGAACCTTACTTTTCCCTTCAGCTGCAATCTAAGTTTCTGTACTCTATCCTCAGCGATTATTTTCTTCTCATGATACCAAGCATATCTGAACAATACCTGCAATGGGGCAGACTCACTCACTTAATAAAAGTGCAAAGCCATTGGCTCCAGTAAGAGGCAGGACTGATCAGATATGCTTTTATGTTTCTAGTTTTCATCAACTAAGAACAAATGACCTCCTTTTGCATGTGGCTGGAGTATTACGCAAGGAAAGATCTAATCTGTGCTTTTTAAATGCCTTTGGAGTCATCAAGACCAGAAGGAAATTGTATTAAGATCTGAAGTCTAAATTCAACCCTTATTCTTCATCTGAACTAATTTCCCTTTGCCCTGGTCCTTCTAGAATGGCTGTAGATTTATGAACGTGGGAAAAGAAAGAAATAAAGAATAACAGTGTTTAAAAATAAATTTTGTTTTTCACAAAATTAATCCCGTTTTACGGTGTGTACTTTAGTGAAAATTCTTTTGGGTGACTTACCGTTTGTCAAGCGATCAAACAAGAAAATGTCAAAGTCCCACATTCCCACTTTGGAGAGCATGTGCTGAAAAGGCAAACAAAAAACAGTACTCAGATGAATCATATTGGAGACCCAAACATTTACTTTGAGACGAAGTGAATTAAAGAATTAAACAGTTGAAAATAGCAGCGTAGTACTATCTATGTACAACTGGTTTGTAGTAAAACAAATCTTACTCCACTCCCTAATAATAACAGTATTAAAGGGACAGGCTCCAGAATCAGACTGCCACAGCATAGGACAGCTGCAAGTCTTACTGGCTGTGGTACCCTGGGCAAATTGCTTAGTCTCTCTGTACCTGTTTTCTAACACATTACCATGTGCAAAATAGATAGCCAATGGGAATTGGCTGTGTGACTCAGGGAACTCAAACCCGTGCTCCGTAATGACCTAGATGGGTGGGAGGGGAAGGGAGGTGGGAGGGAGGTTTCAGTGGGGGGATCATCGGCCTATATCCCTGTGGCTGCTTCATGTTGATGTTTGGTAGAAACCAACACAATACTGTAAAGCAATTATCCAAAAAAAAAAAAAACTAAAAAAAGAAAACTATAGCTGATAATACTATTGCTTTGGAGGGCTGTTGTGAAGATTAAATAAGGTAATATATGTAAACAGCTTAGAGCAGTGCATGCACATAGTAAAGCACACATGATAGACAGTGGTTAAAATTGTAGTCTTATAGTCTCTACCTAGAGGAGGAGGTTTACAGTAATGTTAAAAAAAAAAGAATCTAGATGATTGATGAGCATATTACTAGGCTCAGTGTGGACTAGATGTGAAATTAACCACTGTTAACAGACAGGAAACTGAAGCGTGGGCAATTGAAAATATTGGGTAATTTAAAGACCTATCGTCCAATGTAGACTTATTGTCCTACTGAATAATCTTCCATTGCGTGAATTATATCCCACTTCGTTTTCCATTCATTTCCTGGCACACATATGGGTTGCTTCCTCCTTTTGGGTCTTGTGAATAACGTTGCTATGAGTGTAGATGTACAAATATCTGATTCAGTCCTTTTTCAAACCTTTGGTTATGTCTTTTTGTTCTTTGTGCTGAGTGGCATTTGGGATCTTATTAATAGTTCCCTGATCAGGGATCAAACCCGTGCCCCTTGCTTTGGGAGCACAGAGTCTTAGCCACTGGACCACTTTTCTTTTGAACAATACCTCCTGCTTAGAGTTAGATGGTGTCAGAGTTGCAGTTGCTGACTCTACCCACTATAGCTCCAGTGATGGCCTTCCTCTCCTCTCATGGGCCCTGCTTCCGCTGAGGACCAGCTCTCTTTCCCCACCTCCCATTGAGTGGTCTCCCTGTGTCTTATGATAAAATCCGAAGGCCTCATCATGGCACACAGACTTCACAATAGCATCAAGAAATAAAAAGGGACAGTAGGTTTTGGGTGAAGTCCAGTTTAAGTGCTCTTTTAATCCAGGTCACACAATTCTAAAGGCAGAGCTAAAATCTGAGCTCTGGTATCCCGATTTCTAGGTGCATCTCAGTGTCGTCTTTCTTGGGAGAGGGCTGCTGAGGCTGTCAGATGCCCCAGTGCTGGGAGCCTAGCTTTGCTCTGCTTCTGGAGCTTCTCTGGTTGCTCAGAGTGTAAAGAATCTGCCTGCAAGGCAGGAGCCTTGGGGTTGATCCTTGGGTGAGAAAGATCTCCTGGAGAAGGGAATGGCTACCCACTTCACTATTCTTCCCTGGAGAATTCCAAGGACAGAGGAGCCTGGTCAGCTACACTGTGGGCTCGCAAAGAGTCAGACATGACTGAGCAACAAACACTTTCACTTTCTCACCAAATGAAACAACCAACGAACCAATCAACCAAACATTCCCTCTATCTCAGACCTTTGGCTGTTTGAAGGAGTGAAAATTATTTTCTTTTTGTAGATCTAATGTTGGAAATTAGTTCTTCCAACTTTACTTGCTGCTTATTTCCTAATACTACACACCATTAGAATATATTTCTTATTGGTATACAGATGGCACAATATTACCTATCATGTGAACTATAAAATATTACTTTTGACTTCTGTTTAAACTGAGGCAGTTTATTCCTAAAATTTAAATTCCTTTCAGAGTTTGGGCTAGAGATGACCAGTGAACTTTTTTTAGGTTGTCCCACACTATATTTCCACCCTTTGCTGGATCAGTGTATTGCTAATAAAACTGTCAAATTATTAAAAATTTGAATAAATTAAAATGTATAAAAAAGACAATGCACTGTACTGATAGACTAAAGTGGAATTCAAAGTTGGTAATTACTAGGTTTATTTCAGGGTAGCTAGTATGGGAAGACAATGGGTTAAAACATTTAGTTATTCTTTGATTGGTAATCAGCCAATCCAAAATTTTGTTTTAATTGTGTGTGTGTGTGTGTGTGTGTGTGTTACTTGCTCAGTGGCCAACTCTTTGTGACCCCATGGACTGCAGTCCACCAGGCTTCTCTGTCCATGAGATTTTCCAGACAAGGATACTGGAGTGGGTTGCCATTTCCTTCTCCAGGGGATCTTCCCGACCCAGGGATCGAACCTGGGTCTCCTGCACTGCAGGCAGATTCTTTACCGACTGAGCTACAAGGGAGGCCCTTGCTTTACTTCCTGTTGTGCAGAAATGTTTTGCACATTTATAAAAATAAAAAAAGGTAGCATGTGCTAGGTATGAGTTTATTAAGCATGCAAACATGCTCTACTTTATTTAGTCTTTGTCCCCTATGAGGAGGGTGCTTCTACTAACCTCGCTTTATATTAATATTTAAGGAAACAGCCCAGACGTGTGGAGTAACTGTTGAATGTCACAGAGTTCCTCAGGGCCCCGAAGGAGGACTCAAAGCGAGGTGCTACCAGTGGAGGTAGGGGAGGTGGGAGCGTGGGAGGAGGCACGCCTCTCAGCCACTGGGCTGGTGTGAAGCGACAGAGGGGTAACTAGCTCACCCTTGCTTGTCCAAGGTAGTCTTCATCCAACAGGTGGAGAGGGGCTTGTGGTATAATTCCACGAAGCAGCCTTGATGCATGGAAGTATCTCTGAAAGCTTAACAGTCTTTTCACCTTTTTCTTGGTGCCAATTTCCCCTGAGTATGTTGTATCTGTGGAAAGCAATCAAATTCCGAAGTTACACATTTAAAAAGCCCTATTTGCTCCACTCTGTAAAAATAGAGTGCATTTTAAAGGAGAGAATCCCAAGAGATGCTCTCAATGCTTTCTTAAATAGAGACCATGTAACTCTGCATTTGAAATTCTTTGAGAACAAGAAAGATATTTCTGATATGTTACATTCATTAAAAGGAGATATTTCTGACTAATTTTGGAAGACATGAATGTGAATCAAAAACCTCATTTTCTTATTAACAACGTTAGTAAACTTAGTGAGTAAATTTACACACTTCAGGACGCATTTAAAGAACAGTTATGTTTTTAATTCTTCTATACTGGAATGGAGGTTTCAGAATTTAGAACAGGTTCTCATCTTACAATCTCTGTAGTCTGATGGAATCCTTCACCTGATTAGAAGAGTTGAGGATACACTACCTTGGACACGAGGAAAGATTTCCTAATGTCCCAGGACATCGGCAGCAAAGGAATTAAAACTCAGCACAAGAGTGACCTAGATTCTCATGACATGAAGCAAAAAGGGTGTTTATTTTCTAATGGAGTATATTCTCTTTCACTGGTGGCCATAAAAATCTGATCCTGTCAGTAGAGATATTTTAATACTCCTGTCACATGTGCCTTTTAAAACTTGACTGTTGACTGTCCAGAAATACCCCAAGCACATTATTTGAATGTCTGTCAAGGTATGTTTCATCTCAGATGAAATTCTATCAATCACTCAGCCACAGGAGTGATGTCTGCTGCCAAATTTAGATCTGGAGTCAACTGAATGGTCCTAGTAGGAAAACATACAGTTCATACACAGAGAAATTTTGGTTCCTCTCGTGCCTCCTCCCATGTACCCTTTTCCTCTACAGAACTCAAAATCACAGTGGATATCGGAAGCAGAGAAATAAATGGAAAATGACCCTTTTACAATGTGGCGCTCCCCAAGGTCAGGGAATGACCCAAATCAGAAAGTTACTTGGGTTTATTATGCATGCAAAGACTTAACTCAGGGCACACGACGCCCACTGCTTTTTGGAAATGCCACCTGATTAAAATTCTTTTTATTTTCAATTGGTTTTAGATTTCATGTGTGGGGAGATATAAACAAGACCATAAGGAGATAAGAGCAGTGAACTGAAGTTGGGTGCTTAGGCGCACACCAATATTAAATGTGGACTCAGTTCTACTGATGGGTTCTCACTCATTTCTGTTTATCAATCAAAGTACAGGTTAAAGCGGTTCATTCATTAAAAAATGTTTAGAGGCAATTCTCTGATGGTCCAGTGTTTGGGACTTGGCATTTTCACTGGCAAGGTCTGGGTTCGATCCCTGGTTGGGGAAATAAGATACTGCAATGAGTAGAATGAGGCCACAAAAAAATGTTTTGAGTGTTGCTAAATGTTACTAAGGGACAGGAACTGTTCCAGATGCTTGGTGAGATCTTTCAGTTCTAGATCCTCTACTGAGCAAAATGAAGACCCCCCGTCTTCAAGAAGCTTGCATTCTAGCCAAGGGAGATAGAAAATAAGCAATAGACAAAAAAGAAGTAATTTATAAAAATGGGTTAGAAGCTGGTATGTGCAATGGGGCAAGAAAGGAAATCAAGGGACAGGGATCAGGAGTTCTGTGTTGGGATAGCCCAAGTTGGCCTCATTAGAGGCTACGGTTTGATCAAAACTTGAAGGCCATGAAGGAGCTGACCAAGCAGGTATCTGGGGAAAAGCCTTTCTTACAGAGGGACCAGCTCAACTCATTCCAGAGTGGGAGTGAGGCTGGGATGCTGGCATGTAGAGTGAGAGAAAAAGAGGAGAAAGAGATGTGTTCCTACAGCCAAGCGGAGGTGTGTGTGAGAATTTTACTCTGAAAGCCATTGCGACAACTTGGGCTCTACTCTCAGTACAATGTGGAACCACTGCAAAGTTTTGAGAGGAAAAGTAATATGGAAACACAGCATTTAAAAAGGGTCACTGTGGCCTCTGTATTAAGACAAGATTGTAGCAGCAAACTTTTGGTGCAGCGAGATCTGTTTTGAGGCTACTGGAATAATCTTGGCAAGAAATGATGGTTTGGTTAGACCATAGAGGTAGCCATGGAGAGAGGTGATGTAGGGGGATTCTGAATACATTTTGAATGTATTTTCAAGTTTTTGGCCTGAATAACTTGGGGAATGGAGCTGCCATCATCTGAAATGGGGAAGGCTGCAGGTGGAACAGGTGTGGGGTGGATTTCAGCTTGATACGTGTTGGATTTGGATGCCTATTGGAAATTCAGGTGAAGATGTCTAGTAGAAATAAGTGGATATAAAATCCAGAGCTTGGGGGAGAAGACTGGGTTTGAGAACTACATTTGGGAGTGGTCAGATGACATTAACCCAGGGACTGTGAGTGCAGAACTCACAGTCAAAATTCATTGAACTGTGCCCTTAAACAAGCACATTTTATTGTGTGCTTATAAGCAACAATATCCTAGCTACAAGCACATTTAGCACGCACATTTTGTTATTTAAATACAATTTATCACTAAAAGGAGCCAGATAACCTTGGTGAAATGTGCGAATCTAGGACTGGGGCAGGCAGAGTACAAGATGAATTGTGACTTCTTGTAATGCTAGAAAATAAGGGAGAGTTCAAAAAATGATGGGCTGATAGAAAAATGACAGAGGAGGCAATGTGAAAGGGGTCTTTCTGAGAAAATTTGAAACTCAGCATGAATAACAGGAGAGTGGATGATAAACCACTGACTGAAAAAAAAAAAAAAAGACTCCACCAGTCCATAGTAAGGACATGAGTAAATAAGTAAATAAGAGAAGAGAAAGCTCTGGCCAGTAAGGTAGAAGAAACAATGAGTTATTAGTAGTAACAACCTTTATAGTAATAAGTGATTCAGGCCAAAATCATTAATAGATAATAAAATTAAGTAAAAGCAACAGGATAATTACATAGTGTCAAAGTATCTTTTCACAGGTGACATTAATCTGAAAGGAAAACACGGATAGTTTTCTAGTGAACAAAGGTACAGGAGGTGCCATCTTCACTAACTATTCAAAGTTCACATCACTTGGCACAGGAGAAACTGATATCTTACTCGGCCTGACGTCATTCACTGCGAACACATCACCTGTGCAGTGGTCCTGCCCCAAAGGTACATCCCACCCCTCAAAAGAGGTGACATCAGAAAAACCCAAACTGAAGCATATTCTTCAAGTAAACAATCTGTTCGAACTCTTTTTAAAAATTAATTAATTAATTTTTAATTGGGGAATAACTGATTTACAATATTGTGTTGGCTTTTGCCATACATCAACACAAATCAGCCACAGGTATATATATACCTCTGTCTATACTCTTAAAAAATATCAACTTCATAAAAGACAAGGAGAACCCAGGTATTGTTTCATAATAATGGATACACAGATATAGTGTGCTTAATGCAATGCACGGCTCTGAACTGGATCCTGGATCAAAAAAAAAGAATTCCATAAATGACATTAGTAGGACAATTTGTAAAACTGGGATGTGGACTTCTATATGAGATAATAATATTCTATCTATAAATGCCTTGACCTTGGTAATTGAACTGTGGTTACATGGAAGAATCCCTTGTTCTTAGAATATACATGTTGAAATATTTAGGTATAAAGGGGCATGATGTATACAACAAATTCTCAAGTGATTAGGAAGAAAGTAGCAGCAAGGCAAATAAAGCAAAATACAACTGGTGCATCTGGGTAAAGGGACTGCGAATTTTCTTTGTTCTGTTTTCACAAATTCCCTATAATTCAGATGTTATTATATAATAAAGAGTCTAAGAAGAGAGAGAATGGGAAGGGAGAAATCTGACATAATGACATGGAATATATTCAGCTCTTAAGGAGTTTTGCCACATTTGGGAGCAAAGAAATGTGGTGATATTTCTATATAGAACTATATAGAATGAAATCAAATGTGTCAGTAAATAAATGAAATTAATTATTTCTGTGTTACGTATAAACCTAAAAGGAAATATCCATACAGTGGTCTATTCCTTTTTTTGATAGTCTATGAAAATCCTTCCATTCTAAAATACTAGAAGAAAATCTCCCTTGTGGCTGACAGTATGCCTGTGTTTACGCAATAGAATCAGAGGCAAACAACTTAAGCTTGGATTATGGAAATATGGCACAAACATAGCAAATTGAAATTGTGGATTGTTTCTTGGTAAACTTCCATTCAGCTTTCCATGTGAGATAATATTTTAAGCAGATTCACAACTAAGATAATGGCACTTGTTACATACAGTAAATATAGGTGGTAAGAGATAATTTCTGGTCACCAAAATTATCATTTTGACTAAAATATTGCCAGTCTCCTGATGCTATGAGCTGAGAAGCCATTTTTGCCTTAAACGAAAGAGGAAAACAGCAAGAGTCTCTCCTTATTTTTTTTACCCCATAGTCAAAGTGGTGATAGTCTATGAACATGACAATGTGTATCTCTTTCAATTTTTATTTTCATTTTTGATATTTTTTTGTTCTTAATTTTTATTTTGAAAATATTATGTTACAAATGAAATAATTACTGAATTACTTGGTACCTTTAAATAAATTAAATTAAATTAATTAAAAATTTATTAAAATAAATCTATACATAAAGCCTTCTCATAGTTAAATTTTTATGGTAGTGCGTGGGTTAAAAAATACATTAATAGCATATAACATCATTCATCATGAGAGTGTCAAGGTTTTGGAATCATTTGGTTTAATGTGTATTCTTTATTTGTGCAAATTCTTATTTATTGTCTTAGATGGGCAGGTAGGTATCTGCCAAGATACAGTATTTGTTGGTGGCCAATATTTTCTAAAATACCAAGGCATGTCATAAGTATCCATTTAGCACTGCTCTCTGGGTTGTTCTTTAATATATGAGAGAATAATTCAGAAGTGATACTGGGTGACCATTTATGAAAATGATAAAGTTTCATTTTCTCACATGAGGACATTCATAAAGAT